TCTTAGTTTAGGTCTTCTGGCGTATTTATGGCTTGTGAAATTGATTTTAAATGAATATATAACAATAATCAACCAATCATTAAATCAGTTTATTGATAATTGAATAAAATTAGTAATAATAATTTCCATGAAAAACATGAACTTGAGTTAAGGCAGATGCATGACAAAAGCAGAATGAGATAGAGGAGGGCGGAAATACAGAGAGAGAAAGAGGAAGAGAGAAGGATATAGATGGTATGCAAATGTAAATGAGCATGTTTTCAAGATTCTATGGGCTCTCTGGGTCCTTGAAAGTTGTTGGAAATTTCTTTAACGGAAGTCCGAGCACAGCCAACTTTACATACATTAAGATTACAGATTTAAGGCAGCGCATTCGAGTTCTAAGTAAAATATGTATCAAATTAACAAGTTATAATTAAAATATGTATTTTATATATATATAACTTTACTTGTAACAAACTATTATCTACTGCTACACTCATATGGAAAGCATATTAATAGCATTGACAGCCTGGTCAAGGCATCAAGGTAGTTCGGCCATTCGGGCTCCATTGCAAGGAGAAGCTCTACTTGTTCCAGCTCGTTTGCTGCATGACACTAAAACAGTTATGACGCTTGTGTCACACTCAAACTACTTTACAATATTTGTGCGCAGCGGCAGCGACGTCGACGTCACTCATAGACTATCACACACAGACACACACAAGCGGGCGCATAGAGAGAGAGAGGCTGGCATTTTATGTCTTTTTTAATTGAAAACTTAAATTTGAAGCGACATGGAAAGGCTTTTATCAGCGCCGTAGTCAATGTTACGGGCGCTGGGCTGCCACCGTTCGTAGGCCTCCTTCGCCGGCCCACCCCTCGCTTGCAGTGGAGGCTCCCTCTAGGTTCTAAGTGGAGTTGTAGCTGCTGCAGCTACTGTCTGCTTGTCAGCGCTGAGCTCCAAATGATGTTGATGATAAATAAAGTAACGAGTTGGCATTAAAATGATGACAGCCACTTCACAGTAGGTGGGAAGGCGTGCTGCCCCACCTCTCCCCCTCTCCACAACTCCGCATCGCCACGACTCTGATGCAGTCAGCTCCGAAAATGACAACCAATGTTGGCGTTTATTAATAATTAGGTTGAAGCTCTCTTCACTACTTTGGCTATGTGCGCCAATTGACATGACGACGATGATGATGATGATGATGATGATGGTAATGATGATGTTGTAGCTCGTTGCGAGGCTCGGCTCATTATAATTAGAAAAGTTTCCAAGTAGCTGAGCTAGTAAAATCGTTACATTAAATTACAGCGAAACTCTTTGTTTCTGACAAGTGCAATCAACTGCTGCTACCGCTGATTTGACGTCTGCTGCCCCTCTCCCCTCCCCCTGACTCTGGCTCTGGCTCTGACTATGAGTCGGGCCTTAACGGGCCATCCATAAAATGTGGCCACAAAATTCATATTCATCAACTTAAACGGCAGGCCAAGTGCCTCATCTCATATATGGGCTAGCTAGCTGTGCGTGTGTGCATGTGTGTTTGTGTGTGTGAGCACGCACAACTCTGTCATGTAATTACCCATCGTTTTTTGGCACAATCTTGACCACCTCGTTAAATGTTGGCGCGGGGCTCTCAAAGATCCAACCCCCCATTTCGAGCAAATTGCATGTTGCCCCCGGTTAGCCGTCATTGTTGTTGTTGTTGTTGCTGCTGCTGTTGGCTTGAATGAGAACGAGTTCATTTGGAGCACAATTCGATCGTTGGCCATTTCAATAAAACGCTTTTTCTTCCACTCATATTACGCGGATGCTTTTTCGCATTGGCCTCTCCCGCAGCGACTCTACGGCTCATAATCATTACGGGAAAGTCGGTTGCGCCTTCAGCTGCTGTATTAAGAAAAAAAATATAAGAAGAAGAACAAGAAGAACAAGAAGAGAGCTTGTTATTGAAACGATCATACAGCAAACTGGGTTTATTGTTATGATTCACGGTAACTTTGGCAATTTCATCGGCGTGAATCAACGGGTTGCCCAAGCCGAAGCCCCAGCCCGGGAATCATGCCTATTCCACGATAGTAACTCTGGGTAATCATATGCTAAACGGGCCGGCTTGCCTGTAAATACTAAACAGATTTATAGCTGTCTACTTAAAATGCTAGATGCTAGTTTATGCTCATGTGACAGCAGAGAGCTGCAAGGCTATAAATACATAAAGAAAAACAAAAAATCATCATATAACTCTTTTCTGTTTTCGTTTTCTCTTCTCTTTTTGTTTGCCTGGCGTTTGCGAAGCAGCTGTCCAATTTCTTAAATATCCGACACACACACACACGCACGCAGAGCGAGAGAGAGAGAGATAGAGAGAGAGAGAGAGCCGAGGGATCTGGGCACTGTCAGACGTTGGGCCGCCTGCCGCTGTCAATGTCAGCACATCAAAAGTTGTCAAATATCAGTTATCAGCAGGCAAAGTAACATGGTCGAAAGGCAACCCAGGCAAGACGGCGAAGGAAACGGAGGGCAGGCCAGCGAGTGCCAGATAGTCCCATATTGATGTCCAGTTGCATGTCGAGGCACGGCCAGACGAGGAGTCGACCAATCCAACTGACTGACTGACTGACTGACAGTTGACAGTTCAGCCAGGGACCGACTCTGTGCGACTCCTGCTCCTCGTAGCAGCCAAGCTGTCTGCCACAGTCATTCATATTGTCTTGTTGTTGTTGCTGTTGTTGCTGTTGCCTTTGTTCCCATAGAGAGATAAAAGCAACCTTTGACAATTAAGGCACAACACAGTGCGAAAACCTATCGCAAAAGGTTGCCAATGAGCTGGAATGGAAGTGCTGCCAATGCCTCCACAAAAAAAAAAAGGCAAAAAGAATGCCCTCGAGTCTTATCAGTTAACTCTCAAATGGAGTCGGATATGCCAGATGCAAATTTAAGCTGTCTGTCTCCATGTGTCCAACGGCTACCGTCGAGTGGTCCAAAATTAGATTTTCCTGTAAAGCAACAGAGAATTTATTGTGGTGCAGCCGATGCATTCATTAGACGCTTCCTATGTTTGGGTGGCTATCACATTCCACGCCATGGACATGGCCACAATTCACTCAACAGGCAGAGACAGCGAGAGAGAGGAAGGAGAGAGAGAGATAGAGAGTGAGTGAGTGAGAGAGTTGTATGGCAGGTATTCATTTCAACGCAGCTCGAGCTCGTAAAACTGTCAAAATGCACCGGCTACCGGACGGCTGTTGCTTCTATGTCCATATACATTCAGTCTGGCTGTCGGACTGTCTGACTGTCTGGCTCTAGCTGGCGGCTCGCAATGCGAAATGCTATCTGCGCCACACATGCAACAATTAGCAAAACAAACGCGATATCATAAAATAATATTAATTTGTAAAACAAACGCTGGCGTAAACAACAACGACAACATATAGAGCCTAGCCTAGCCTAGCCTAGCCTAGGCCCTGCTCCGGCGTATGGCCCATCCTCTTCGCTCGGCACCCCACAATTAAAGGCTGCGCCGCTGACGTCGCTGCGGACGCCGTCGCGCATGCGTAATAAGCACTTTTCCGTCTGACAACACAATAAAATGTCATGATATGCCCCACGCTCTGTGGGATCCCGTCCGCCCCGGCAAACGCTGAGCCAAGCTGGATCCTCGCTCTCCAGCTACTATTTGTTTTTAGCTTGTCCAAAACTATGGCCACTGTCAGCCAACTAGCCAACTGCCTAGCCAGGCAGCTAGCCAGCCAGCGAATCGGCATCGACTGCACGTAGTTTCGGGCCTTTTGCGCATTCTTATAGCATATAAACGTCTCGGATTGCAATTAAAATCAATAAATCGGTAACTAGCCTGCCAGCTGGTTTATAACCGTTGCATCGCGTAGCGCTCAAGATTTACGCAAAGATCGCATAGATGCGCCTGTCGACTGGTTTAGAGCCTCGTCCACGGCCATTTAGCGGGGATCGCTTTAAAACTAAACGGTAACAGCTTAGCAGTTTATTGTAGTTTAACGAGCGCTACGAACTGCATTCTGTTATTATATAAAGCTTCCATTAATTGGAGTAACTATTTTATTTATAAGAAATTGCAGCAGTCTATTTATACAAAGTACGGAGTGGTCTGGGAATGAATTCCTATTGCTCTTGTCAAAGAGAGCATAGGAAAGTCATGCAGCTCGTATTTTAAGAACTATATAGAACTGAGATCTATGGGTTGATGAGATCTTCTTCACGATTGTTTCAAATTTATTAGAGTTTATTTGGATGGCTTCACCTGATTCAAGCAGAGCCACAGCCACATGGCCTAACTGCAAGTTAGCGGCTCATATTACATCGCTGACCAGCTGATATTTGAGCTGATCGCGATGCTGACAAGAGCGGAAGATTGATCTACCGATCAGCCGATGGCCACCTTCGAGATTTTGATATTTGGCCTGATTATGGACGCTGACAGGTGACCGAGGCAGCAACGACTCTCGGCTGTCCAGCAATGGACTGATGCATGTGTGTCAATGGCTGGACACGATCATAGGACCACCGGCGACAGCGGCATCGGCAGCTACTCCTTAAGAACTCTGTGCGTGTGTGTGTCGGTGTGTGCGCCTTTTAATCGCTTCCAATGACGTCTCGAATGATGCCTCACTTATGTGTGAACCTACCGGGCTGCTGTCAAGAGCTGCCGCTGCCTGTTTGTAGCGATCGATAGAGATGATCTCGTACACCCGACGCAGCCGCTGCCAATAGAATTGTTCGGTGCGCCCGGGAATTGCACTGGGCCCTGGCTGGCCGCCAGACAGCCTCACAACATTTTGTTGATCATGATTTTTGAGTTGACAAGATGTCAGCGATGCCAGCGATCGTCGGTAGAGGCTGGTAGGGGCACGTTGCTAGAATGTCGGCCTGCATGTTGCGTCCTTGTTGAGCAAGAATTTTTTTCGCTGCTGCTTCTTAGTTTTTATTTTTTTTCCTGCCATCACTTTCTTTGCTGTGGTTGTGGTTGGGGCCGTGCTTGATCGCTGGCTTAGATCGATCGCAGGTTTTTTTTTCTTTTGCTCTGGCAATTTGGAGCGCAGCGCACATCGATTGCAATGCAGCTGATAAGCGCTCTGGGCTGCTGGGATGCCACAGCTCGGAGCTTAATCATGGTCTGGCTACAGCTGCAGGTGCCGCTTCGAGCGATCGACATGTCTGCAATGTTTACAACACTATAAAAAGAGAGCAAGAGCAGGAGAGAGAGAGAGAGAGAGAGAGAGAGAGAAGGGGAGAGTTTGCTGGAATTGGAATTTTAATCAGCTTGGGGCCGCTTTAATTCAATTACATGCCACGCTTGATGTGCTGCTGGGTGTTGGCCATAGGTTAAGCAGCTGCCTGACCCAATGCGGGTCGATCGTTGCGTGGGCCACAGCTCCGACTGCCAACTGGCAACGGGAACGTGTTGTTCGCTGCGCTCTTCAATCAGAGCGTAAAACTTTGCCGCGGCGGCATTGCATACATTGATTGATTCCGATAAAACGCTGTCCGCCGCACTCTGGTGACAGCCTTTGTAAATGGCTTCCGGCAACACTTTTGATAGCAATTAAAAACTACGTAAGGGCACAAAAGGCGCAACAGACTCGCCCTCTCTCTCTCCCTCCCTCTCTCTCTCTCTCTCTATGTTGGCCTTGTATATGTAGCTACAGCCTGCTGCCTGCTGCCTGTTGATGCCTTTGGCTATATCTTTGGCCATTCGGCGCACAATTGCGCGATTAATCATTGCGCGCTCAGTGAGTTGTCAGCTGTGACTGGGCCGCCGCCTTAGAGATCGCATCGCATCGGTGCGGTTCGTCCGTCACAAGCGATTGGACACTCAATGGCCAGCCAGACAGTTGGCTAGCTGGGCAGCTCGACTCTGGGAAAAAGAAAACATTCGAAATGCATTTCAAATGCAATGCGCTCAACACTTTTTATTTCTATTCGCCGCCTTAAGCCATTCATGCGTTAAGCATCGCCAGGCGCAACTTTTGTCCACATTTCGCAGCGCCGTCAATTTGCAGCAACAGCAGCAGCAGCAGCAGCGGCAGCAGCAGCAACGTCGCGACGTCAGACCTTCCCTTCAGTTTGGGGTCTGCTTTGTTTGCACTACTTGGCGTAAAGTTTTGTGTGTTTTGCTCCATTTGAGCGGCGCACTCGGAGCTGTAAGTCGAACTTCCGTGAATGCCCTGCCCATTGGAAGCGTTAGCTGGAGCTGCAGCTCAGTCGAGCGAGACGCAAAAACCGAAGCAGAGAAGTTGGGCTGCCTGTGGACTGCGTGCTGCTGGGCAATTCCATAAAGTGTTTTATTTAATGGAAAATCTTTCAATTGTGGAAAATGGTGTTAATTAGCCGCCATTAAGATCATAAATTAGTCGCTACAAACGATTATGACGCGATTGTTGTTGTTGTTGTTGCTGCTGTTGCTGACGTTGCCTTTCTGCCGGCATTTCTACAAAGTGCTTTTCCTATACACACACACACACACACACACACTTATATATGACTCCATATATGGCCAAGTGCCCCGGTGCAGTGCATGTTTGCTTTACGGTACATTTGCTGTTATGACTTTACTTATATAGGTAATGTGCAGATGTTTGATTTACGAAAGTGATTCTTATGTGTAGAGAGAGTAGAGGTAGAGGTAGAGAGTGAGAGAGAGACACAAATGAAAGTAGCTCGAGGAGAAAGGCTGCCACTGGAGTTGGCTCTTTTAATGGAGGGTTCTAAAAATGCACCGAGTGCTGCATGAATCATCAAATTAGGGAAATATTCAAACTCAGTCATAATTTCTTATGTAAAAGCTAACACAGCTGAGATCTTATCTGGCCAAGCCATCAACACTTCAAATGGAAAGAAAGCGCACATTTCATCAAAAACTAAAAAAGTTTCTGCAGCAGGGAGTTCAGTGTCCTGTCGAACAAGCTAACGAGAATCGAGCCACATTCCATGGCTAATACTGCAGCACACTCACACACACATAGAGCTTCATTAGCCTACACCCACTTGGCTGGACGAGTGCTACATAAACCTAATCAGTGATCACACTTAAAGCCACCACACGGGGCTGTCCATGTTCCGTCCAGTCTGCCCTAATTGAAGCCAGTTGGGGGCGGGGTGGCGGAGGAGAGGATGTGCCTCGTATTTGTAGAGCTCAATCGCTCATTATCAGTTGTTTGTTGCCGCCGCGATTGGTAATCAACGTAGGCGAGCAGATTTGTCAAGCGGCAACAGCATTATATGTAGGTTAATTTCGCGCACAACTCAAGATATCGCACAGACAGGGACAGAGTGAGAGAGAGAGGGAGAGAGAGAGAGAGAGAGAGCAAGGGGTAGTGCTAGCTGCTTTGATTAGCATTACAAATGATTCGAGTAATGTGCACTTAAGCGGTCGCACTGCATCCACAGCCCTCTCAGACTGGCCGTCTGCTAGACGCGATGCGACGCGACTCGACTCGCCTCGACTCGAGGCAGCGCGCTTTATCCTAGACAGAGTGACGTGTGTTCTGGATATGGTCAGCGCAAGGCACTGCATCCCGATGACTTGCAATTCATTTTCGGTGTGTGGGCAACCGGCCAAAAGATGCGCGGCCTCTGGCGCCTCAGGCACATCCATGCCATGCTGCATGCGAGTGTATGCAAAATAAGCAACGCTCACATTCACACTTGCCGCCTCCAACGCGACTCTGATGCAGATCCTCAGCCCAGGCCAGGGCAGGCTCTGACGCTGGCTCTGACGCTGGCCATTGGCCATTGGCCATAAAATATCGGCATTTTATTAGCGCGTGCATCCCATTTGCCGCTTTTCATTGCGATTTTAAAAGTGTTCCCGTGTTTTGATAGCCGCACTATCAGTGACCCATGGAAATAAATGTGGCCTATAGAGATTATGCCTTCCTGCGGACAGGCCGCAGACATCTCAGCGCGTCAATGCGTGGTTGCTGCTGCTGCTACTCAGTGTTGGTGGAGGTGGAGGTGGCGGCGGTGTCGGTGGTGCTGCTGCTGCTGTTGCTGCGGCTGTCTGCAGTGGTGCAGCACACATGCCTAATGAAATATGGCGCAATAATGCCGCATAACGGCTATTTAGGGCCACTCATCGCCATTCCCGGCTTAATCATTCGACTGCAACTCCACTCCGACTGCGACAGCGACTGCGACTGCGACTGCGACTGCGACTGCGGCTCGTTCCATGCGAGTCTAATGCGTCGCTGGTTCGCGCTTCTGCTGTCGCCGTCGCCGTTGCCCGCAGTGCCGATGGCCCAAAGACCACAAATTAACTGCACATCAAACATAATCATTTGTGAAAGCTAAAATCGGAGCAAAACAACACCTATGGTGTGTCCAGTCTGGCAAATTACTTAAACACACGGGGCAACCTGCCCAAAAAACCGAAAAAATGCGAAAGCCGCGAGAGCAACGACAGCCAATGATGAACGGGCATATATCCTGTAAACTTGGGTAATATGTGATGATAAATGAGGATGCTCATTTGGATTCTATATAAAAGTCAACTAGAATGTAATCACACCCTATTGTTAATGTTAGTGGGGTATCTTGTGTATATAAGGTAAGTTGTTCAATATCTTGAAGTACATATAAAGAAAAAATACATAGAGTATGTATATCAACTTCAGTTTAAGCAGCCGCCAATTTATATTAAGTGATTTACTGCCAAGTAAAACTGCTTTATCTCTCATTGAAATACTTGTCACATTCACCTGCTCACATAAATACCATATCTCTTTTCTCCAAATGCTCATCAAATACATATACTCTCCTTTATAGAAAAATCTTTCATTTCCTACACTGCCCTGCCTAATTCTGCGCCATGTTACCAACACTCTCTCCAGCCTTATATACCCCATGTTACCTATTGAATCTGCGCATTATAATAATAAACTCACACTGTCTGACCTTGTTGCAGCGTCGAGTTAGGACTTCCAGTTGAGAACTGCGAACTGCAGTCGGCTTCGACTCCTCCTCCTCCTCCTGCTCCTCCTCGTACTCCTGCTCGTAGCCAATTGGCCAGTTGACAACAAAATTTTTGGTGGACCGCCCGCCACAAGCGATAATTCTTCCAGTGCTATGACAACTAAATTGCCATGGCCGTATTTGCCAAGCAGTCCATAAAGAGCAGCAGACACCAGGGTCCGGCTCAACCCGGCCCGACCCGGCCCTATGGAAAGTTGGAGCCTATTGCCGAAAAAGAAACCAAACGCCGCTGCCCAGTTAATTCGCAGGATGATGAATTCCAGCGAAAAAGGGCTAAGTAAATGGCAGAGAGAAGCGGGTGAAGTTTTATACGGTTAGTCTGATTCCAGCACTGGCTCTGCTGCTGCTGCTGCTGCTGGCTGTGGCTCTGACTCTGGCCTGACTCTAATTGTTGGGCTACGAGACCAAATCGGAGTAAGGAGTCCGATTCTGAGCTGGGTCCCACACATCAGTTGCAGCCAGTTGAGTTCTCACTTTTGTATAAAACTCAGCTTCGTTTATTTGAAAATTTCTTCATTTTTCGGAATTTGGTAATTGCCGGCTCTGGCTCTGGCTCTGACTCTGGTTCTGGCCAGGCTCTGAATCTGTGGCTCTGGCTTGCGGGCTGTTTGCTGATCTTTCACTGATTTTTTGGCTTTTTGGCATTGCTGTGGCTGCTGGCCAGGCACTCTTATGTTTGTTGTTGTTATTGTTGTTGTTGTTATTGTTATCATTGCGCGCCCGTTGCCAGTGATTGCCACTTAAACCGTTAAGCAAACGCCGTGCGAGCGGCTCAGCTGCAGTTGGAGCTTGGCGACTTTGTTTCGCAAATGACTCTTGGGCTTGGTTTTAAAATGAACTTCTTTTATATTCCGCTTGCCTCTCTCCTTCTTCTTATTCTTCTTCTTGTGTTTTTTTTGCTGGCTTTTGTTGATTTTGGCTCGGTGGGGATGGGCATGCAGCTGCATTCCAATGCACTTAACGCATTCTCTACTCAGATAAGTTTCAATTACAAATTGGGTTCGTTCTTTTTGGAGTTTTAATTGACAATGCTGGCAGCTTGATACGGATCTTCTGGCAGATATCGTCCGGCATATCTTGCTTGGTTTATTTGGGTATAAGCACTCCTCTCTCTCTCCGTCTCTATCTCTCTTCCTCTTCTCTTTTCTTGGAGCGTATCATATTATTTATGATATTCTCTCTGTGCTCCATGTTGATGACTGTTTGGAGTCCATCTGCGAGCGAGTTGCAAATGAACTGTGGCTGCTTTATGTGAATGCTTGTTCTCTGGCATTGCTTAGCTTAACTATCGAGTCGCCTGTTCCCAAGGGCAGAGGCTCTCTTTCTGTGCCGCCGACATTAGCATTAACCTTCGTATAGGGCGCTCGCTAGCCCGCTCGTTAGCAGCCATGGGCAATGGGCAATTTAACTATAGAGCTGCTCTCCATGAGCACGAAAACTAAAGGCGAAATAAAATACACGCATTTTACATGCTCGTAAACGTGTGTTACATATGCACACACAAGCCAGGGCTAGGGAGGGGCCTGGCTGTGTATGAGAGAGAGAAAGAGAGAGAGAGATGGAGAGTTGGGTCTCTGGTATGGGGTATACGGACGCAGGAGCTGGAAAATATATAACCTCAACTACTTTATGCATAAATTTAGCAAGATTGCGAAGCTACCCCATGGCGAGCTAATGTTGTAAATTATAAATATGACACCTACTCCTAGCCAGAGCTGGAGCTGGCCTGAAAACCCGTGGGCAGCCAGCCAGCCAGCCAGCCAGCTAGCCAGGAAGGCCAACAGGCTGGGACTTGGGCACAGCTGCCTTGAAATTTATACGCGCCGACAAGCCCATGCTAACATACTCGAGTGACAGGAAATATCCTGAGCAAGCAACCTCCTCCTGCTGCTCCTGCTTCTCCCCGTGCGCGCCTGGCTGCAGTTGCGGCTGCGCCGGCGGCGACTTAATTGGTTGCCGAAGCAGCGGGAAATCGCCGCCGGAACGCGCTTAATTAACCAAAATGCATTTCCAGTTTAGATCTGCGCTACTTGACCAACTTGGCCAATTGCCAAGCCAGCTAACAACAAAACACTTCGCACTGACCTAGCCGAGAATTCGCCGACTTGCAGATATGCATTTCAGTTCGAATTCGACTGCGAGTGCAATGCGAAAGTCGACAACAAAATCAACTAATTACAGCAGGCAACAAAAGTTGATTACTAAGACAGACGAGTTGCATCTATGTGGGCTGAAGATCTATCATATTCCTGCCTCTACTCTGCGGCAAGCAAAAGTCTGGCCTGCCGTCTCTAGTTAGCGCACAATCTATGACATATGCAGATGCGTTCCCTTATTTTGCTGTCTAGTGTCTAGGCCAAGGAAACAAACCAATTGCCTGCCCGCCTGCCTGTTGGCTACGCATGCGCCAGAGACTGAGCCTGAGTCAGAGCCTGAGCCAGAGCCTGTGCCTGTGCCTGTGCCTGCGTTTGCGCCTTGGGCTCAATCTTGGTCGCATGCATTGTTTTGTTTGTTAGCGGAAGAATGTAACGGTGCTTTATGGTAAGTTGCTAGCTCCAAGCTGGCCGACTGATCGCCAAGCACTCACCCACCTCGCTCTCCCGCCATGGAGCAAGATGCGTGCATAGCTTTGCCTGCGTTACGTTTATTTTATTTTATTTTTTTTTTTTTCGGTAGCCTCACAGCCACGCAGAACAAAGGCCAATTTTCAGCAGATTTAATCACGCGCGAGAGCACAGAGACGGCAACAATGGGCCAAGAGTGTTGGTAAGTGGCAAAAACGCATTAGAAAAAAAAAAAGCGGTAAGAAAAACAACAACAAGAAACGCTCTGCCGACTATTGGACCAATGGACCATCTGACCAACTATGACTATCGCGACCAACCACTGCCGTCCGCCGTCCGCCGACCGCCGTCCTCTGCCGTCCTCAGCCGACTGCCGACTGCATTCTCTTTGGCATTTCATTTTTCCGCTTTGGCTTTTCCAATGAAAAATAATAATAATTGACAGGCAGGCGCTGCCAATGTGGGAATTTGGATTATTAACGAATTGTTGCTGCCTGTTTTAAGAGGGGACAGCCAGCAAACGGCCAGGCAACAGCGGCGACAACAGCGACCACGCAGCATTTGCAAGCAGCCGACGCATAAAATTTATGCCCCAGCCAAGGGCCGCAACAATGGGCCCTGGCGGGGGCAGCGGCAGCTCCACAGATGCTGCAAATGCTTCGATCACGTACGCGACGCAATTAAATGACAATTCTTTAGCTACTTGGCGGCCAGTTGCCAATTGGCATGCGGCACCAAGGCAGCCAGCCAGCCAGCTAGCCAGCCAGTCAGCTAGCCAGGTTAACTAAGGCATAAGAATGATGTTAACTATTTAGCGCATCCAGCAGATACAGTAGCCACTAGCTGCTAGCGACTGGCAACTGGTAGCTGTGCCCGCCTCCCTCGCCCGCCCGCGCAGCAGATCTGTGCGTTAAGCAGCTGCCACGACAATTAAATCTTTGCAGTTGTTTAGCTTGCTCGGAGCCGAGATTCCGCGATTCCAGCCGTGGCGGCTGCCTCTGATTAAGGGCTACGTCTGTCTGGCTGCCTCTTGGCATTTCTGTTGCCCCGCACAGCAAAGAAATTGTCAAAGTGCAGAGCTGAAACAACAGCTTTTGGCATATTTTTGTGCTGGGCTGCCAAAAGGTTGCCAGAGAGTCTGAAAGTTAGTATCTCTCACTCCACTTCCATTTAGAGCCCCACTCGGAGCACCTCTAATCAGTGGCTGCCCTGCGGCACACAAGACGGAAGTGAAAAGTGCCTGCAGCGAAAGGCCAAATATGGAAATGTTTACAAATTGCAAAAGACGGCCGAGGATATGTTGTTTTTTTGATGATACGCAAAGTTGCAGTGGCTCAGCGGTGGCAGCGGCGGTGGTGGCCAGTGGTCAGCACATTTGCCTAGTGGTCGTCAGTGGCCGTTGCCAGCGGCTGCTCCAAAAATGAACAAAATCAGCGTACGCAAAAGAAACCTGAATAGGGAGAGCGAGAGAAAGATACTGACACCGATAGGCACACACACACACACACACACACACACACACACACACACACAGAGGCAGAAGCATAGACCCAACGTCTCATCATCATCCTCATCCTCATCCTCGTGTTGAGCTTCAGTTTCATCGTCAGCGGCGGCGCATCCTTTGGCTTGCCTATTTTGTAAATTCGTTAGTGCTGCTGAAATATGTTGATTGAATTTTTCGGGAGCAACTGCATTTGATTATAACGACGACGACGACGTGGGGCCAGCAGCTGGGCAGCTGACCGTTGCAGACGCACCATAAATGGTCAACACACAAGGCTAGATCAGGGAGAGAGAGAAAGAGTTAGGGAGAGATGGAGAGGGAGAGGGAGAAAGAAAGGCGAGTGATTGTTATCGTAGGCAAATGCGCGCACACTAACCGCAGCTAACAGGTCAAAGGTCACGGCATTTGCATAGAGAAAGAGAGAGAGAGAGGGAGAGGGAGTGAGGGAGTGAGTGCCAAGATTTATGAATTTACAACGATTTACAAGCGATTTACACTTAATTAGTGGCACCCGGCGAAAGTTTCGAAAATTCGAGCGAACCCCGTGTGGGTCGTCCCGCTTCCGGGGAGGCAGCGCGTCTTGTCGACGCGAATTAATTGCTTCAGAAACGGTAATTTATTGTTTTAAGTCGTCTTAACTGTCAGCGCTGCGTGGGCGACAACGGCAGGAAATACCCAAAAGCGACTGCTTCGACTGCTTCGACTTTACAGTTTTCATTTCTCGATCATTTCGATCAATATTTGTTTTTATGATTTTCGTTTTCCGAGCTCTTGTTACAATTAGAATTGTCGCTTTCAATTGGCCATTTGATGTGGGCCGCTGATTGCCGGCCGATAAGCGAGCCAGTCGCTCGACCAATCAAATTTCATAATCTGGCATACCGAATACCATCTGTAGTCTGCGCGGCTTCTTATATTGCGGCTTCTACCTCTTGAGCTTTTGTGTAGGTGCCTCGCGTTTATTTTTGTAAATCATCAGCTCGGGCTTATATATGTATATGTATATATGTATTTTTATTTCTTTATTTATAGTTTGGTCGGGGCGTGTGGGTGTGCGGCATGCGGGCAGCGGCTTAGCCGCAAAATGACTTCATTAACTTATATTTCATATTTCAGCCGTTTTAACATTTGTTGTCTCAGGCTCGAGTCGTTGCTTATTTCTGCGAACAAATTAAGCCGAAATGCACCACATGAACAGCCACCACACGACATTAACATTTATTTCGCTGTCTTCTGTCTTTCTTCAGCTCCCTTTCCGCCCCTTGTGGTGGCTCTGGGGCACCGTTGGCACTGAGCCGCTAAAAGCGCTGTTAAAAACTTCATTACGGCTGTCATATGGTCAGCGATTTAAGTGTGACATATTTCGGCTGCAGCTGGATGTAGGTCGCCTCCACGGGATGGCACAAAGTGCTGCTGCTTATTCCACATTAAATATGCATATAGGATTGTATAACAAATGCAAATGTAAGTTGTTGGCCCAGAGGGACAGTGGCAATAGTGGAGAGCTGAATTTAGATCAGCCTATTTGTTGTATTTATTTGGCTAAAAAATCTGTTTGTCATTTTGAATTTATGAAAAGCTCATGGAGGAAAGAGAGAGAGGGAGAGATAGATAGATATAGTTCGATATATAGAGAAAGAGAGAGAAGTGCTCTCTTGCCTTTTAATGCTTGCCTTTCTATGTTTCTCTCCCTCTGTCTCTCTATCTCTCTCTCTGGTCATCTTTCGTTTTAAATGGCTTTTTATCTGTACTTCTCTCTCT